TTTTTCCAAGGAATATTCATCTGGAGTTCGTACAACGGGTGTTTCTTTCCCCTTTCCGCCCACCTTGAACACGGATATCGCGCCTGCTTGAACCAAAACTGTCTTGCTCCAGCGCAGTAAGCGCCGCCACTCAAATATCAAAGTATTGAGTTCTTTGAAAACTCCAGGGGTATTTTGACCTCTAACACGAGCACTAGCGTGAAGTGAGAAAAGGCTGGTTACGGCTGGTACGCTATAGGAGTCGGCAAAAGAAGTGCCTATAGACTAGTGCCCTTGGCTTAGGCACCAGGCACTTTTGTTCTAAACATAAGCGATTTTTGTGTTCATGAGGTCAAGCTAGCCTCAGGCATGAAATCGCCAAATCTTCCTTAACAGAAAAAACTGCAGTCAAAATCGGACCTTAGTTGGGGCAGAAAAGGGTAAATAGTGCCGAAAACAAGTGTGCTAAAAGAACCAAGGGTTACTCGTTCAGCCTCCTCAGACTCATTAATGAGCTTCAGGGGTGACGAAATAAACACAGGGAAGAACTGACGAAAAAAACTAAGGGAGAGAGGCGCATTAATCATTGGACACAAGCCAGTAGTTCTATCCTCTAGAAGAGTCTCGTGCCAGATAACCGACCTCTGAAGGCTTGATTGGCTCGCGCAAGGTGTGGTCCAGGATTTGACCTCCTAAGTGGGCGTGCGATAGCGACGTGTTCAGCCCCTTGCTACCATGAATAGACCAATGAAACTGACTCTTTTGATCTTTAGAAGTAGTGCCTATACTTGAAGTTTTCAGAAGTTGCAAGAACGCCGAAAAGAGGACAGTCAACTTTCACGAATGTTCAACATATTCAAGCAGGACGTTTTCATGAGTGAATTTTTTTGATGAGACAATATTGTATAGAAGAGAGAGCGAGAGAAGTACATTTAATAAATATTGATCGCATTTGTCAGTGTTCTGGTTCAAGAATTACGACGGTATTTACAAAGCCAATGCAAGGATAATTAACGAGATCAATTATCGATGACATTGATGAATGAGGGGTGAAGCGGGCTGTTCTTGGGTGGTGATAGTATGTGTGATCCTCATCGTTAAACTTCTCATCATCGCGTAATGTGCCGCCTCAACCAATCACGACCTCCGCCCCTGGCCTATGTCCGCCCACTGTCGTCGGACATAGCGCTGATGGCGGCTTTTCCTGTCAAACTCTACAAACAATGATGTGCTACCATCTCAACATCACAAATTACTCTGTCATTTACACCTTGAACCTCTTGAGGGTGTCCGAGCCACAGGTCTGCAGTTGTTGAGCGCTCAGAGACAGAAGGTCCAACTCCGGTCAATTAGTTTTCACTACCTTCATAATGAAGGTGTCTCTCATGAGCATGAGCTTGAACTGATATCTCTCATCAATCTTTCTCAATTAAAAACACTTTTCTAGCCTCAGCTTCGTATCTCTGATCTGAGACCAGTGCTGTTTCTATCGCTCTCAGCTGATTGATGCTCTTGGCTGGTAATTTCGCAGAACAGATAACCAAGCAAATTCTTGCAAAAAGACTTTCTTATCGCCAAATTTCTTAATGAGTCTGTGATTACTGTAAAAATTCTATCACTCCATTCAACGCTTAGGATATGAGTGATAAACGTGGTTTTCGTGTTGATGAACTGTTGTCAGATGACAATAAACCCGCCATTATACAGGATACCGGAGGTACGTTCTATACCAGTTATGGAAGTTACCATAATGTTCTTCAGCCTCGATGACTTATTCTTAATGATTACTGTTTATTACTTCGGTTACTGTCCTTGGTATTTATACAATATCTCAAAAAGTTCGTCGCGGTTTTACGCATCACTGTACTCATTTAGGAAGATCTACCGTACCATCAAATAATAATCAGAATAAGACAAGACGTGCTCGAACGGCATTTACCTATGAACAACTAGTAGCGCTAGAAAATAAATTCAAGGTGATTCAGAGATTCCTCACGGCTTATTCTCTTTGATTTTTCACAAAAGTGTTCCTTTGCAGACCTCACGATACTTGAGCGTTTGTGAACGGCTGAATCTGGCTATCCAACTACATCTCACTGAGACTCAGGTGAGACGGTATATATTGATTTTTTGTAGATCAACCATGGTATTTTTTGTATGCAGGTGAAGATATGGTTTCAAAATCGTCGTACAAAGTGGAAAAAGCATAATCCGGGGATGGATGCGAACTCGTCGCCTTCGCCAACTGGCAGCAACACGTCTTCTGGTGGTGCTGTATCGGAAAAGATTGCTGCACCAACAATGCCATTACCTCCAACTAACATGGTATGTAATAGTAGCGCCTTACCTGCTTGTACTCATCCGTTTTCGTCTCTCATTTTGATTCATATAAGTGGCCTCTTTTTATGTGGAAGACCTTTACTCCAGTTACTTAGCTTAGGCTGTGCGCCAAGCGGGCAAGAAACGTTTTCTGAGCTGTCGGAAACCGGAAGGCATTTTTGGGGCGCGCCCTAGAAATTGGACTTCTGAAGGGATCGCTCTGGGATACACAGACCATTTCAACCTGGCAATTTCTCTGCCCTGTTGCCTGCGAAGACCAGGTCGCACCTGTGTGGTTATTGAGACTCTAGGACTTTAAAAGCAGTCGACACGATTAGTCCCTAAGACAAGTGGAATGATACGTCTGGCAGGACGGAACGCTGCACCCCCTGAGAAGGCGCCGCGTAGCGCCTTCTCTAAGGAAGGTACCTTATAAGGTCCCTATCAAGCTGCAACATACCGACCCGAACGCCCACCGCGCCCGCCCGCCCACAAATGGACGACCGTACATATGAAGCAGCCGCGGTGCTGCATGGATATATGAGTACATACCAGCCGTATCTACCGTAGCGGTTATTGGCAAGATGCCTACGGGAAACTCGTCCGAAATTGCTTTTCGGTCATTAGGAACGAAGGCTTTTCTTCGCAGGTTTTTGACCGTTTCACTTCGTTTTTCGCCATTTTCCCCACTATATAGCACCTGCTAGCATTTAGACCGAGTACCAAATATCGTGCCATATGCCTTTGAGGTATCGATACAGTCTGGAATAGGGTCCGAATTTTCACAGCAGCTAATAGTCAGCCAGGCTTGGAATTCCAAAGGAAAACATATATCCCTGAGACATTTCCCTGTAGTCAACCCACGCAGACAATATGAGTCACCATGAGCCGCTACTTTACCGTCTCCCGGATGAAGTTAGTCCAAGTCGATACCCCATTTCCCATAGTCAATTCTACCGTACCCTAAGTACTACTGATACGTTTCTGTTGCTACTCAGTGCCAAAAGATAAAATCACTTGGATATTTTCCGAACTTTACAGTCTTGATCGGTTCGACCTTTGCTCCAAGCTGAGCTCAAACAGCTCCCATTTTTGGTTTCCAGAGCGCGACTGACCGTTCGCTAGAATATCCTCAACCGCTGAGCGAGGGGTGGGGGTGCAGTGACATATCTGGCCTAGTCAACCCTTTTCAATGTTCCTTACTGGTTTTTTCCTCTGCGCTTTATCCACCCCGCCCTTCTCGACGATGACTCATTGTCAGTGTTATTAAATGTGGTAGTTGATCAGATGTCTGTATTTCCTTTGCCTCTACCCCTTCTTTCGTTCACTGGAAAGCAGAGATAAGGGGATTGTATAGGGGGATTGAGAGAAGTTTTCTCCTGGCACTACGATTTTCTCCCTCCAGGCCCGTCTGTCATCTCCTCTTAGCGCGTGCACGTTCCTATCCTATCGTTATTATCTTGCGAAGTAATCGTGACGTTTTAAACGGAAAGGATCGTATTAGTCCCGGCTGCTTCGCGATCCCGCGAATCTCGTCTCCATTTATTCTACGTGGCGATCGTCAAGGTTTTGCTGAATTGTGAAGTCAAATGCCTTTTTTCAGATTCCATTCGGGACGCCATTACTATCAGTGACGTCAATTCCACAAGTTACTACACCATTAATTCCATTTCATTTCTACACCATCAACACTATGCGCGCAGTTATTATGACCCGTCACAGATTAACCGTTCTCTCCATAGACGGCCATATCATCGGTGATGTCCTATTCCAGGGGATATTATGCTCCTTGACTCGGTGGTTAAAGTACAAAGATCGCGCTGATGATCTTAATGTGTGCGGCACTTGAGGACACAATTTCGCGATTTAACAGGTGCACAGGTTGATAGCTACACTAGTCTTTTTGATTCTTTGTACAAGTAATCCAATCCTCAATCTCAGAAGTTTTTTTACTTTCACGGCTGGACAGTAACAGGACGAGGGTAACGCTGCCGTTCAGAGGTTGCCTCACCCATCTGGGTTCAGAGGTAGCGCTGGGCGATCCTCTCGCCTTATAAGACCACATGAATCAGCGTCGCCTTAAGCTCATTCTGGCGTAGAACCGAGCAATTGTGTTTTGTCTTGTTAACTTGTATTCAGCTTGTCTTCTTGTCACTCATCTCATTATCCTGTCTTTCTGTTCTCTCTCTCTCTGCGCTCTCTACGGGTCCTGGCTGATCAATGTCTCTCTTAGTTCGAATACTGCGTGCATCTAAAGAGCTTGTTGGTAGGGTGTGCTGGTGATAGATTACCAACTTTTTAAACTATTCACTGGCAAACCAACTCATGTCTACAGTCCCTGCAAATAACAAGACGTGTAACGCAGCGCGTATTGAAGCGAAGCCAAGACTGCCTTTTTCCACCTAATGATAACGTCAGCACCTACCCAACGCACAACTGACGCCGGGAAAAATGTGATCGTGGCTAACGCTCGCAGAGCCACCGCCCGGTGCATAACCTCCTGATCGTCTTTGCATGATCCTGGTTGGCGTGAGATACTAGTTCGCTACCAGAGTGAACAAAAAAGGCAAAAGAGAGATCCCATTGACACTCACTCAAGCAAAGCTCCCAGATTGGACGAGTATATGAATTATTGAAGAGAAAAAGTCAGAGCAGAAGCGAGAGAGAAAGCAGAGATGGGAGATAGAGATAGAAATAGAGAGAGTAGAGAGAAGACCAAAGACGCAAGTTCAAGTTCATACCTGCAAAATCTGCAGCCAGAACTGTGATCCGCGAATGTGTCTCTAGCCAATAGTCCTTTCCAGAACTCAACTTACATCGATAGCCTCGACTTTTATTGTGAGCCTCCAAAATACCAAATGCTCAGATTGCTTCCCTCTTTATTCATGAACAACACCAAGTTGACTCCGCTGAACAATCCGAAAAAAACACGTGTCTTGTCAAAGCTGAAGCCCTTAGGTATTGTTTCGTGTTCCTCATTTTGAAAATTACAGTTTACTATGCGGGTATACAATAAGTAATACTGACAGTTTTTTGCAATGTCATTGCGATGTATTGTTCGACGATCTCCATACACATTTAATATGTAGCGGTACTAAAAATAACCCAGTGTAAATTTCACTAAATTCATCATGTTGATTTATTCATGGATAAAGCTATTGAGCCTTCATCGAATGTGTGTCTCATAAGCGTTTTGTCGACATTTTCCACATTTTTCTTGCTGACTTTCATCGCCGATCTACAAATACTGCCGCCGCCCTTTATAGTGATTGAAAGCAGTGTGGGAACATCAAAAACGCATAACTTGGACGGCGACTGCGATTTTATCGTCGCTCAAATGTTGCGGATACGCTGAGAGTTACAGCTCCATGCGGTGACCTATAGTGAGTGGATATCGCTAGCAAAATGAGGAAGGTTACGTTCTGAGCATCCCCTGCTCCCCTACTCCTCCTCAAGCTGCTTACCACGGGAGTAAAAGAAAGCCTTAGGCAGCACAGTTCATGAGAACTCCCTTTCCCTTCTAGTTCCCGTAAGAGGGGTTGCTCAGGTATCTGCCTGCTATGAACATTTATGGTTAGTCGTTGAATCTTCATAGGGAACGAGCTGGAACGGTGCTTTTAGCTGGAAGTCGCGAGGAAGCGTCCTTGACCTTTGCGATAGAGACGTTATGCTCGAAGGAAAAGAGATTCAGGAACGAAAACTCTTGTGAGTGCTGGAGCGATGTCACGAAAAGCCAAATAATGTGGGTAAGGAGTGCAGGCAGCGTTGGTAATCTAACGGATAGCGCACCTTGCCTCGTGGGGTGTGGGTTCGAATCCTGCTTGGAGTCAAGATTTTTGCCCATATCTCATCATGACCAACCTGCAGCTACACGCTAAACAGCAGTTACCGGGTTGCGCAAAACAGCAGTTATCATGTGAAACAAAATCAGAAAACAAGAGCGCCGTACATTTCGCATGTTGTAGAAAGTAATCCTCGACTCTCTTCAGCTCCCCAAAGCCAAATCTACTAACGGCGTCTTATCAAAGCGACTCAGGGTGTCAACCACAACGTTTTGTCGCAGGAGCTGCTAAAATTAGAGGTCGGTGACTGTTGTAGTTATGAGTATTGCGAATTAGTTTCATTGTAAGTATTTTGACTTCACACGTTCGAACTATCGCACACACTCTGCGGAGAATCAATGGCATAAAAAACTAAAGAAATCAAATCTCAGCTCGCAGTGCGATCTGTCCGTGAATATACACGTGCAAGTGCCTGTGTCAAGGAATGCGTCCTTGCCTCGTATGTGTCGCTAGTTCCTCACCTGAAATTATCCAATATCAGCCTTGTTCGGCCGCAGACTGGCTTGAACCAAAACCATGCTTTTTCGAGCTCTTTACTCGCAAATAAAGACTCCCTGGTGACATATACGCTTTGAGGCCTCAGTACCTTGTGAGCCTCGTGCTAAGCGCAGGGCTATCCGTGTTGTAGCTATGTAAAGATACGTGTGTTATCTGTGTAGAGGGATGATTACCAGGTAAAGGAAACATTCTTCCGGAAGCGAATTTGAAAAAATAGAGCTATTTGTGAGAGAAGCATTTACTTTAGGCTCCCAATCCCCAGAATCGTTCCCGGGGATTATTGTGGGATGAAAGATTGCATAACTTTGTCGCCTGCGCCTGAGACCTGTGCTCTCCTTAACAACACGCTGAAAACCGATTTAGGAGGTTTCGTCTGTCCAAAGCCTGGTCCAACAGCTTTGCTCAGCACCCGTGAGGACTGCTGAAACTTTTAGGCCTCATCCAACCATAGGCAACAGCTAGTCCTTTCCAATACGGTCCTTCGGACCTGTTTTAGGGTTCTGTATGGTAACCAAACAGGGTCAAAGTCGGACACACATAAGAAGTCGGTATAGCCAGCTGTTAGAGTCTCTCTCCTATTCACTTCCAAAATTGGCATTTCATCTTGTCGGGTTTCAATTTTCATTCAATTGGTTAACCTCCTAAGCTGAACTGGTCTTATCCTGAAGGTTATGGCTAAGGCCCAATCATGTTCCTTGAAGGCACATTCCTATTGTCATATGGATAAGCGTATTCCTACCATTCTGATAACCTCATTGGCTCGGTCTTCCATTTCACTGTTTTGGAAAAGAGTGGCGCACCAAAAAAAGTGAGAGAACAATGATAGAATCAGCTCGTCCATACTCGTGTCTCTAAAGGGGGAACATAATCCAAGAGTTAGGATTGCGCTACACGCCTCAGCAGCTCCAGCAGAGTAATGTCCGGTAACCCTCGAGAAACCCGGACTGCCGTGAAATCGCGCTAAATGAAGCCTCCAGGTTGTCTTTGGTATCTGAAAAACAGGCCCAAAAATTCATACGGGCTCGGAAACATACCTCCAATGCTCCGAACTCCACTTCCTACATTTCAATGCTCTGTATATTGTTCAGACTATCTTAGAATTCTTGCGATGAGCAAAGGGCTGCCTGAGACCACGCATTTGGTGTCGAAATAGTACTCAATAATGTCAATGCTATAAGTTTTTACCAGAAAGGTTGTGACCCAGAAACAGCCACAGTAAGATGAGGCGTGGGGAATTATCTATTTTTTGATTCATCCAAAACTCATGAGGATGTGCTGAAAAATTATCAAACATCCACTACCGATAGAATGCTATTCAAAGAACAAAATATAAGAAGAACTAAATAAGGGCTCAGAAACTGAGATCCTAAGCGATTTGCCTGAGCAGATTATGTTTCCCTTCGAGGAGGTGGTGTGGTCCTCCTCAAGATCCTGGTCCCTACTCCAGAACGCAAGCTCAATATAAATGTAATGGAACTCACCTCCCAGAGACTTAGCTCCTTCGGGTGAAGGCTTCTCCGGGACATTTATCTAGGTTGAAGCTTTGATACATATAGCGCTTATTCTAGTACGTACGCCTGGCCTAATCCTTGTGCTCTTCCAAATGCGTTGTTGAGTGTTGCAAATTGACGAGCAATCAGTGTAAGGCTTAATGTCCTAGGGTTACATTACATCGACGTGTTGTGAAATGAGCGTAGGGCTATTCATTTCCAATTAACCACCAATTGTATAAACGCTCGAGCCCATCATCAAAGCGCTGATTTCGATGGCCAATTACTAGAGCACTCAATTCCACGTTGAAGGGTAAATTTATGGAGGTAATGCGAAAACTTGTGAAAAAAATAAGGCAGTGATAGAGTAGCAAACGCTTATTTCTCATGAAGTCAAACAAAACTGAAAATAATTACTAATTGTAAAAAATAGAACATGGAATTGAGAAAAATGACAAAACCTGTTTAGTGAAACTCTAGTTTTTGTTTTATTTTCCGGTTTCTTTTGTTCTCTTTGCTCACTTTCTTTTTACCACTGAATTCTTACAAACATGCGGCTTCTGACTTCTTTGAATAGCGCGCCATGAGGGCAAAATAAATTAGTAGATCAACCAGAGATCAAACAGTATCTGTTGAACATAGGCTTCTCACGCCTTATTGGTTGACTCATTTCCGATACCATCCTTTACTGTAGCGATTAAGATCCCAACTTTTGTTTTCATAATTTCATTGAATCAGAGTTCAGTGGCTAGTAAACCGAGTTTTCGTGCATTGCGGGTCCCCTCATACTCGCTATTTTTACTTCACCGCCGTGCAGTTCACTGGTATATTACAGGTAGAGAGCTACTGGTATTATTTATAAAGTATGCAAAGGCGATAGAGTGCCAAGGGTCGTTGCTCAATGTTCCGACCAGAGCATCCTCTGCGGTGTCAAGACTTTTTTATTTGGTCTTAACGCCTTCCTCTTGCCACTACAATTTTGAATTTACGATCCAGTGCAGGCGCATCCTGAATAGGGG